CATAGACGTCATACAATAAACTTGGGCATCTGTCAACATAATCCCATAGAAACATTAGTCGATTTGTGTCTGCATCATAAAGTTATTCTCGATTGAAAATGTCAGTTTACGAGCCAAATTCTCGTCATTTGCGGGAGGTTTTAATTTTTTGCTTCAATATGAAGAAATCTGCGGCTGAGGCTCGAATGCTCTCAAATACTTATGGTGAAGCCGCTATTAGTGAAAGAACGTGTCGTGTGTGGCTTCAAGAACGGTGATTTTGACGTCGAAGATCGGCATAGCGGTGGAAGAGAGAAAGTTTTCGAAGATGTAGAATTGGAGGAATTACTTGAGCAAGAATCGTGTCAAAATCAAGAAGAATTGGCACGATCATTGGGAGTGACTCAACAAGCCATTTCAAAACACCTCAAAGCCATGGGAATGATTCAGAAGCAAGGAAATTGGTTGCCGTACGAATTGAAGCCGAGAGATGTTGAACGGCGTTTGTTTGCTTGTGAACAGCTGCTTGAAAGGCAAAGACGGAAGGGATTTCTGCATCGCATTGTGACTGGGAACGAAAAATGGGTTCATTACGATAATCCCAAGCGCAGAAAATCAGGGGAGTTCCCGGCCATGCTTCTACGTCGACGGCCAAACCGAATATTCATGGCTCCAAGGTCATGCTCTGTATTTGGTGGGACCAGCTCGGCGTAGTGTATTATGAACTGTTAAAATCGACTGAAACAATCACAGGCGATCGGTATCGAACGCAATTGATGCGTTTGAACCGAGCATTGAAAGACAAACGGCCGCAATACAACAAAGAGACACGATAAAGTAATTTTGCAGCATGACAGTGCTCGATCCCATATTGCGAAAGTGGTCAAGACATACTTGGAAACGTTGAAATGGGAAGTCCTACTCCACCCGCCGTATTCTCCAGACGTTGCTCCCTCTGACTATCACTTGTTTCGATCAATGGCACACGGCCTGGCTGACCAGCACTTCCGGTCTTATGAAGAAGTAAAAAATTGGATCAATTCGTGGATAGCCTCAAAAGATGATCAGTTTTTTCGACGCGGGATTCGTACGCTTCCCGAAAGATGGGAGAAAGAAGCAGCCAGCGATGGACAATATTTTGAATCATAAATGTATAACCAGTTTTTTACAATAAAGTTTCGAATTTCGGAAAAAACGGCGGAAGCAAAGTTGTACACCTAATATTTTTTTATTTTCTGAGAAATTTAAATACTTCCGAAAGATCATTCATTATAGCATTTGTTTGTTTAAATCTATTAATACGATATATTAAATCCTTAATACTAAAATTAATAACAGTAAAATAAGTGGAAGTCATAGATCGAGCTGTTTGAAAAAGCTTTTCGCATATTTGGCTACTAAACATAATCGGGCGAAACATTTCAGGCGTCAGATTGCCTATTATCTTTAAATTGTGTAATTTTTATTAAATTTATTTATTATTTTTTTTATTAAATTATGAGCATTTAATTCTATATATAAATAACAACTGTTAATTAAAAAATTGTCTTTTATAGTATATTACTTATTTCTTTTTATCCATGCTCGCCATCTTTTCAGAAAGAAGACTGAATACCACATATATATAATAAATTCGATCACTTAAAAATGTAGATAGTCATTTAAGAAAGATATTATATATTTCATTTGTTTAAATAAGCAATTGTACCGTCAGTATTAGCAATTTGTTTTAAATTACAGATGAAGAACATATATTTTCCTCCGCAGAATAACTTATTTTACTTTTTTCTTTTAAATTCCAAGAAGTTAGAAGATGTTTATTTTGAAACAGTTTTCATTAAATAGTGAAGATGATCTATAATAACCATATAATTTCCCATAAAAAATTATCCCCTTTTTAAAAAATCTCATTTTACGCATTTTAGTTATAATATGCGTTGTATATCCTGTATATAACATTCTTCTACTTTATTCATATCTATTCGGCTTAGCGTTATAGCGATATACGTTCGTCTTTCTCACATTCGACAATTTTTGGCTGCATCGAGCACAAGCGAGATACGTCCGTTCTTCTCGCTGGTCGCTTATTTCTCGCACCTTCAATTTCAATGAAATTATGCTCATTATGCGCGTTTTTGCAAATGAAAGAATCTGCCAATAAAATGTTGTACCTAGTCCTGCGAACCAAGATATTGGATTGTCCGGAAAGTTCGTGCCGATTTTGAAGAAAAATTGAAACGCAGAAGATTTAAATTTTTAATTTCATTTATTAAATTTAAATCTTTTGCGGCACGAATTTTCCGAATCCAATATTATTAAGCATTAAAGTTAACGATTATTGGAAATCTGTCACCCTCCTCCCCCCTCCCTGCCAAGGAGCGTATGACTTCTATATTTCAGCCGTAAGTTACCGAATGCGAGAAGGACAGACATATATCGCACTGAATCGAATTTTGCTAAACGCGGCATGGTTCAGATCAAAATTGCGATTATTATTAAGCAGAACTGCCTCATACATAAGATAAGACAAGTGCTAGCTGATTGCATTACTGACCGATAGCAGCGCTGAACAATAGCAGTTATCTATAGGGTATTACCTACCCCATGGATGATATCATGAGAAAGAGAGCGCGCAATCTGTATAATTTATTTAATATTCAAATTTTATGTATTATATATTAGATGTAGTAAAAAGAAATCCATTATTTTTGCATGAAATTGAATGGAAAAATAATGGATTTCTTTTTACTACACCTAATATAAATATGTTTGACTTATCAGTTTAAAAATAAAACGTAATAGTGTTCAGTGATTTATAATAATTTCCATATAATGTGTCTTATTAATGCCCGCTTAGTAATGTCCAGTAATATCTAATGCCCACTAATGTCTACTAATGCCCCAAATGTGTACTGTAAATTTCAGCGGTTTACCCCTCCTTAGAAAGTACAAATATCATGTAAAAAATTAACACAAGAAGTGTAATACTTTGATATAATTTAAAAACAAATTTTATATAAAATTGAGTCATATTTAATGTTAAATTTAACTGAAATTAGATGCTATTTTTACACAGTAAAAAACATTTTATATATTTATGTTAAAACGAATCCTTGTTCAAATTTTCATTGAATTTTTATCTGAGTTTTAATTTAACATAATACGATTGTGTTATTTGAATATTTTATTGATTTAATATATTATAAATGTTAATTTTACTGAAAAAATATGTTCTGTACAATTAGTTACATGTAAAAAAGTACAGATATTTTGTGTTATTTTCTCTTTGTGTAATATCTTCAGTAATATTATTGTAACATTTATAATATATTAAATCAACACACATTTTATTCATTTAGTCTTAGAACTAAATGTTTTAAAACTACATTATTTTTATGTTATTTATTTATTTATAAATTGTGTCATTTTAACACTGAAAAATGTTAAATTTTAATTTAACACAAAATATATATTCAAATAACACAATCATGTTATGTTAAATTAAAACTTGGCTATATTAAAAATTCAACACAAAAATTTTAATAAGAATTCGTTTTAACATAAATACAAAATGTTTTTTACTGTGTACCGCCGCATTATTAGCATTATGCAAGGTGTCCGACGGCTAAAATCTTTTGAAAGTTGTTCAGGATCATGTCCTGGATAACTTTTGATAAGGATAGCTATGATTAAGAAAAATTAAATTCATTGGAAATTGTTTCTCTTGTTTTCATTTTTGCACTGAAAGTTCATTTTTATGTGCATAATGCTAATGCCGGTGGTACTGTAATTTTCAAGCCTTATAACTCGAAAAGTATTATATAGTTGTACTTCATAAAATATAATTTTATTGTATATTTTGAAAAGCTCTTGACACTAGCTATTAGATTCTGGAAAAAATAGGATGTGCCATTTAAAAAAATTGATCTTACCTTGGCAATCACCCAAGGTCAGACTGACCAGATCAGTGAAATAGATCATTTAAAATTCTACAATTTTTGTAGAAAAACATTTCTTTCGGAAAGTTTTCGAGATATTTCACCGGTCTGAGATTTTTACTCATCCTGTATATATTACATGTATTAGTTTAACATCTAACTTTGACTGAAAGTGGCGTTCCTTTTATATTTAATTTAATTTTGATAAAATTTAAATCTAACCGTAAATATTTGAAATGTGAAAATGCCAAAAAATCCAAAAAGTCACAAAAAATAAGAAATTATTTTAAAGTGAAAAATCACCCGGGAAAAAATGTTTTATATATAATTATATAAAATTATATAAAAATATATAATTTTATATACGTGGGTCGTTTGATAAGTTTGGTAAATTTCGATGAAATGGCTACAATCCATTGATGACGCGACATCTCGAAAGGTCCACTCTTCGAACCCCTTCAAGTCAAATTTCAGCCAGAAAGGATGCATAGATTCACATTTGGTAGTCATTTGAAGAGATTGGCGCGTAAAAAAGTGTTCTTCCATCAAGACAACGCGCCGTCGACACAAGTCGACCGTTGCAATGACAAAACTACGAATTGGGCTATGAATTGATTCCTTATCCCTATTCTCCGGATTTGGCCCCGTGTGACTTCTTTCTGTTTTCAAACTTAAAAACTTAACTCAGTGGGAAGAAATTCTCGTCAAATGAGGAAGTCATTGTCGCCGTCAATGAGTATTTTGCAGACTTTGAGACAGCCTACTTCAAATGATTACCAAACGTGAACTATGCGTTCTTTCTGGCTGAAATTTGGCCTAAAGGGATTCAAAGAGTGGATCTTTCGAGATGTCGCGTCATCAAATGGATTGCAGTGCCATTTCATGGAAATTTACCAAATTTATCAAACGACCCAAGTAATTTTATATAATTTTGTACATAGATGGACATATTTTATATATTTTATATATAATTATATATAAAACATTTTTTCCCGCTAATGTCCATCAAGAAATTGCTTGTTAGCGGAATAATAAAAAGGAAAATGCGAAATGCATAATCTTTATAAGGAATATGTTATGCAGGTGTTATTAGTGAAAATGCAGAATCTCAGAGAAATTCGTTCAATTCTACCACTGCTCAGTATAAAAATATGGATTGTTCTTCTACACTGGTAATTGCACATAATTAAATCTAATAAGAGCTTCATCATATCATCGTACTATTTGGCGATTAATTTATTTTTCTAAAAATTACAGAATTTGATTTATCCAGATAAACAGAAAAATGATAAAAAGATGAAAGAGTTTCCGATCGAATTGACAATGAGCTTGCAATATTTGCCACCCTGTGATAATATTATCCCCGGAAAACTCGTTATCGGTATTGAAGTATGTTATTGGCATTTTATACATGAAGTTATAATAAAGTTTTACTAATAATAACATAAATATTAAAAATGTTTTATATCCATTATTTGTCGGTTAAAATAAAATCACATAATAAAAATGAAACATATTCTACATTTATGTGTTTTAGGCGCTATGTGGTCTTCCTCCTAAACAATATAACGGAACATTGGAACCTTACGTTGTATTGAATATTATGAAACAGTCATGGAGCTACAAAAAGCGGCAAAAATTGCATAGTTTTAGAACAAGGGTGATCAAGCATACTGCCAGTCCGATTTACAAAGAGACTTTTGTTATTGCAAATATAAAGCCACAGGAAGCTAAGGTAAATTCTTTATTATACAGAATATTATATATTTGAAAAAAAACATTATACATTATATAATTTAATATTTCTATTATTAGATGTACAACTTTGCTTCCGCCGTTTTTTTCCGAAATTCGAGACTTTATTGTAAAAAACTGGTTATACATCTATGATTCAAAGTATTGTCCGTCGCTGGCCACTACTTTCTCCCATCTTTCGGGTAGCGTACGAATCCCGCGTTGAAAAAACTGGTCATCTTTTGAGGCTATCCACGAATCGATCCAATTTTTTACTTCTTCATAAGACTGAAAGTGCTGGTCAGCCAGGCCATGTGCCATTGATCAAAACAAGTGATAGCCAGAGGGAACAACGTCTGGAGAATACGGCGGGTGGGGTAGGACTTCCCATTTCAACGTTTCCAAGTATGTCTTGACCACTTTCGCAACATGGGGTCGAGCATTGTCATGCTGCAAAATCACTTTATCGTGTCTCTCGTTGTATTGCGGCCGTTTATCTTTCAATGCTCGGCTCAAACGCATCAATTGCGTTCGATACTGATCGTCTGTGATTGTTTCAGTCGATTTTAACAGTTCATAATACACTACGTCGAGCTGGTCCCAGCAAATACAAAGCATGACCTTGGAGCCGTGAATATTCGGTTTGGTCGTCGACGTGGAAGCATGGCCGGGAACTCCCCATGATTTTCTGCGCTTGGGATTATCGTAATGAACCATTTTTCGTCCCCAGTCACAATGCGATGCAGAAATCCCTTCCGTCTTTGCTTTTCAAGCAGTTGTTCACAAGCAAACAAACGCCGTTCAACATCTCTCGGCTTCAATTCGTACGGCACCCAATTTCCTTGCTTCTGAATCATTCCCATGGCTTTGAGGCGTTTTGAAATGGCTTGTTGAGTCACTCCCAATGATCGTGCCAATTCTTCTTGATTTTAACACGAGTCTTGCTCAAGTAATGTCTCCAATTCTGCATTTTCGAAAACCTTCTCTCTTTCACCGCTATGCCGGTCTTCGACGTCAAAATCACCGTTCTTGAAGCGTTGAAACCACTCACGTTCTTCCACTAATAGCGGCCTCACCATAAGTTTTTTGAGAGCATTCGATGAGCCTCAGCCGCAGATTTCTTCATATTGAAGCAAAAAATTAAAATCTCCCGCAAATGACGAGAATTTGGTTCGTAAACTGACATTTTCAATCGAGAATAACTTTATGATGCAGACACAAATCGACTAATGTTTCTATGGGGTTATGTTGACAGATGCCCAAGTTTATTGTATGATCGTCTATGATCTATTTATTTCGACCACCATTTACCGCTAAAGCCATCTATAGGAAAACGGCGGAAGCAAAGTTGTACACCTAATAATATAAATTAATTCTACAAGGTAAGCTACAAACAAAAAAAGTAATACTCGTTACTGAAAAAAATAATGAAAACAGTAATAAATGCTATATATAATATATAGAAGATCTTAGCATTACTCAGCACTACTGAATACTTCTGCACTACTACAGTAATATACAGTAGTGCTGTAGTACAATAATGCCTCAAAATACTCCTAGTGCTCAGTAGTACTTTTCTACAAGGGAATAAAGATTTGACTTGGCCGCGAACTGAGATATTAAGTAACCCTTGATACACACCTTTGGGTTATTTATATCCTGCACATTTCTTTTCTTTGAAATATTAAGAGCACATGATCAAATATCGGTCTTTTTTTATTCTTAAAAAAAGTGGCATCTAGAAAACAAGTTTTGTAGAGCAACTTTTAATTATACGCTCCACTGCTCACTGAGCGCTACATAATATGGTACTTATGGTCCAAACACGGCATTAAAGAAATAATAAACAGTAATAAATAAGTATGAAATATGATATTAAAGATTATGTATAATAGAATTATTCTACATTACGAATTATAATAAATAATTATATTAATCATAGATTAATCCCTTTTTTATTCAATGAGTAATTTTTTCGTTGAATGCATTCAATGGGCGCATTCAGCGGACTTAACAGTTGAATGAGCGCTCGCTGTTATTGGTGTATTCTTTTAGCTCATTCAATCAGAATTTTAGATTTAGAAGAATACATCAATAGCAGCGAGCGCTCTCTCAACTTGAATCTGCTTGAATCTGCTGTTGAATCTGCTGAATGCACCCATTGTTTCATAATTTATTACAATTTATTATGATATTATTCAACTATACTATGGAAAATAACAAATAAATCCGTTTTTTAAAATGAGTACATATATTTTTTTAAACAATATATTCATTAAATAATAATAATCACATAAATGCCTTTATAAGGCATTTATGTGATTATTATTATTTATTTGTTATGTATGGAATTTATGCCAGAGAATAACGATTTTCAATGCTGCTATCTTTTAAGAAGCCAAAATTGCATTAAAATTTGTAGAAATTTTTAAAGATTGAAGAGTTAATCATAAAAAAATTAAAGATAATTATAATATTTGAGAATAGAGTAAGTCCCAAGGAATTTCCTTTCTATGATTAATAATCATTTTAAAACTGATTTAGAAAGGTAATGTTTACTTTCTTTGTTATTTTTAATTTATTTTTGATTTGGATCTTATTATATTCATATGCATGTAATAAGATCCAATGTCGGAGTTTAACAACATTTTTTTTGTTCATTTACAAATATTCTGTATAAACAATATATTTTATTTTTGGGAGTGAATGAAATGAAGATTTGATTCTCTTAGTTTATTTCAATATCTTCATAAATAGAATTAAAAAAAAATAAAATAAGTTAGATAAGCCTTATTCAGATACCTTAAATGCTGAATGTCTTTTCTTAACACTTTGTACAGAGTTTCAAAATTTTCTTTATTTTCCTTTAAAATCCTTTATTTTCTAAAATTCATTATAATTCGAAAACTAGCCCCAGAGAAAAACTATTACAACTTTCCCCTATTTATAACACAATCTTAAATATATTACATAAGATATTACATAAGATCCGACCGACCTGAAAACTATGATAGGATAGTCAATACCAATCAATACAAGTTGTATTCCGTTTAAGTTGTATTCCGCAAGTTGTATTACTCTATAATTATGTTTACATGGCTCAAGTTACGACATTTGAAATTATAACATCGATTAGGAAAAATTGGCTGAATAATCATTCCATTCATTTCAGTCCTTTCGTTTCATTCTTCAGAAGAACAACTATGATTAGTCAGTTTCAGATAATATCAATGTTAACTTCGGCGTAAATCGAGCCGTGTAAATGTAGTCATTAAATAGCAATACTTATCGCAGGAGATGGAGCAAAATGCTTCGATTAACTTTCGATAATTATTTTCTTTTCAGGAATGGATATTAGATATCACTGCGTATGATCATGATAGATACGCAAATCACACAGAATTATGTTCGCTTAAGGTATTGCTAAAAAATATGAAGAAGATATTTTACAACCCGGAAATTCACATGTTTAATTATAAAATGAAGCCGTCCTATCAGGTGATATATTAATAATGCATATATTTAAAAAAATAGTGATAATTAAAAAATTGTAGTTAATAACAAATACAAATTAAAAAAAAAAAGATAATAAATAATAACACAAATTTTTTAACACACATTTCGAAATAAAAATTAAAAAAAAAAATTGATCAGTGTACAGAAAAGTCCAATTTTTTGTTCGAAAATAAATTTTTTTTTTATTAATCTTAAAATGGATAGGTACGCTTTTAAGGCAAATCGTCCCAGATTTCTATGGATCTAAAATTGAAAATGAACAATGTGAACAGAAACAGCATTAATGCAAGACTCGCAAGATTGGGAAAAAATGGAACATCCCATTTAGAAGCTTTTTAATGAGATTTCCGAATGATTAACGATTAAACTTAAAGAGCTTAATAATTAGTGTTTTAATTCTAGTGTTTTTTAAAAATATGTTGTGTATCATCTCATTGTTTAAATTTAAAATAAAGAGAGATAATTATTGCTTAATACAATTTACGATAAATAAACTATCTATAGTATCTAATGTATGAAAATTTTTATTCTTTTTGGTACAGAACGGATATAAATCCAAAATTTAAATCCAAATTTAAAATTTAAGATTTTCGTTTAAAAGATAAGATTCTCCTACAACGCGAAATATTGCAGCAGTATTTCAATAGTGCACAATATTACAAGCATTGCATCAATATTGCTGCAATATTAAAATTTTAATATTTTATTGGAAGTATTGCAACAATATTGCAATATATTCTTGCAGTATTACAATTCAGTAAATAAGTGTGCGGTCACGAGAGAGATATGTTTGCTTCTCATAAGGAGAAAATCCATCCAGGACGTATATTCTTCTATAAGGATGTAAATCAAGTTAATAGGTCCTTGGAAATTCCTTTTTTTGGATGCACTTCTTAGGCCCTCGAATATTTTTTGATCATAACTTTATCGTATGTATTTTAGAATATGATACTAAACAGTAATATGTTAGCAATTAATAAAACTAGAATAATTATTGAAACATAATGTTATAATAATATGCAATATTTCTCTAAATATTGCAGCAATATTGCAATAATATTTTATTTTTGCGGATATAGGAATATTGCTATAATATTGCAACAATGTTATGAAATATGCAATCTTTCAAAATAATATATTGTTGCAATATTTCGTGCTGTAGGAGTTACAAGAATCAGCAACGTTTCAAAAATATTATATAAAATTATAAAAATATTATTAAATGTTAAGATAATCCTAAAATATTAAAAATATTTTAAATATCAATTTTTTAAAATAATTTTATTAATTTTTTTATTGGAATTAAAATTAAATTGAAATGATAAAAGATACAAACCAAAGCAAGTTCTTTAACGTTAAATTACAATAAAAGACAAATATAAATTTTTTATTATCATTATATGAATGATATTATATTAGCTGCTCATAAAAATTCAGATCAAATTGATTCTTGACATGTTCAACTCTTACGATGACAGAAAATTTATCATAAAACATTATGATGATGAGGACATTAACTTCTTGGATGTGAAATTAATAATAGAAGATGGGAAAATTATTTTTGACATTTTTAAAAAATCAACAAATTCCGACAGGAATTACTTAAATTTTAATTCCAACTATCTGACTTACCATAAAAAAGGTGTTATCATTGATCAATTTGACAGAATATTATTCTTGTCACATCTAAAATTCCATGAAAGAAATATTCACCAGTTAATTAAAACATTAACAGTTGTTACCCAGTGGATAATATATTGGATAATATATAATTTTCGCTATCATTAATAACAGAATAAAAACCTTATCCTATTGGCTTTATACAAATAAAGTGAATGATGTCAAAAATCATAACTCCACATCCACTATTTCTAACAACGTATTCATTATCTTAATAGCATATCGGAAAAATTCAAGAACATATCTGATAAACTCGAGTTAAGAATCGGTTATAAACCGATGAATAAACTCAATAAATTCATAAAAACAGGAAAAGATCGCCTTAGTAAAGAGGATCACTGTAATGTCGTGTATAAAATAAATTATTTAGGTTGTGAATCGTCGTGATACATTGAGCAAATAAAAAGAAAACTAAAAAGAAAATTAAAAACTTAGATTAAAGAACATAGAGCTGATAAAAAATTTCCCGAAGCGATGTCAGATGTTATACTATTAATTTGACCATGAACACAAATTGAATTGAGATAATATCATAATCTTGATTCTGAACAATCAATATAAGAAGAATCTCGAAAATGATACATATAAAAAGCCAAAAATTGGATTTAAATAAGCAAAGCGACACAGAGAAAGGTTGTTAGATCAAAGAGGTTGTATCTACTTCTATTGAACAAGGAATCCTTCTTTACTCCCACTCCATAATTTTTCTATCTTCTATTTTAGTAAACCGAAGCACAGACAACTTATAGAAAAATACACACAGCTTAGCTAAATAATCTCTATCATACATTGATGACAAAGTATTAACGGTCTTGTAATGAACACAAGAATGCTTCTAACAAATAGATTTTAATCATGAGTTATAGAGCAGTAATACTAATATCTTATTAGAATCTGAGAATTACGTGTCCACTCAATCAAGATGTAAGGCCGATTTGCGTTGACATAGTTTCAAAGTTATAAATGAAGTTATAAATGACAAATAATCGAGCCTTGCATTGAGCTTAGGATCTCATGAAAAAATTTTCAATAATCTTTTTAACTAAAGACACTAGACAAGATTTCATGTAATTTGCATGAATTTAATTATTAATGATTTATTAATTATTTGTAATACGACATACTGAAGATGGCCAGATACTAAAATAGCCGAAACGTATATGTTTTATAAGTTTGAAGATTTTGAATTTTCACATATGATATATCGCTTATAACAACTTGTGGTTTTTATGCTTCTTTCTTCATATTGTTTACAAATATAAATCACGTTTATTAATTTAACAAATATAATATTTTATTTTGAAAAGAACAAACGTTTAAATTTTAATTCACTTTGTTGAATGACACATTAACTTTAAATTTGGGTAATTATTCAGTTTAACTCCCGCACTTCAAAAATCAATGAAAGCTTATGCGACACGTTTGTGCATAAATCGAAAGAATTTGGCAAAAAAAAAACGTCGCTGTCTTGTGATCCGAGATATTAAGCGTTAATGTTGATGACTATTAGAAAATCTGTCACTGACTTAATATAGCGCTATGTATACATACAACATTTGGTTAATATTTATTCAGAATTGCTACCTCTTTTTCGATTTTGAAATAAGGCTCATTCGACACATTTTTGTATATGTTTTTAAAGCAGAGAATGGTAATTATTTAGAATACTCCCGCTCCCTCCCTCCTCCTGAATTTATAACTTTTCACACATATCAAGAATAGAACAGGCTTTCGTTTTCAGTCAGTCTATATTAAGTCAGTATGACAGATTTTCCAACCTCAATAGTCATCAACTTTAACACTTAATATCTCAGATCATAGAGTAAAGCGACGCTCCTTTTTTCAGATTTTTTTCGTTTTATGCAGGGGTGGGCAGTATTTGAAAGACATGTATTTAAAATACGTATTTAAATACATTTTTTATTTTGTATTTCATATTTGAATACTTTTTTGAGAGTATTTTATATTTTACATTTAAATACTTTTTTTTTAGTATTTTGTATTTTTAATTTGTTAATACTAAAATGTAAAAATTTTTTTTATTAAAGTCAAAATCGCACCATTGTTGATTTAATCTAAAGTGTGTTTCATTTCACACATGATATGCATAATGCATCATCTATCTTTGTTTACATTTGATGGAACAACAATCTTTAGCGTTGTCTCAGAAGTGGATAGTATTTGAAATGTGTATTTAAAATACGTATTTAAATAACATAAAAATGTTATTAAGAGTATTTTGAATTATTTAAATACGTATTGAGAATATTTTGTATTTGAATACTTTTTTAAGAGTATTTTGTATTTAAATACATTTTGTATTTTAATACATTTGTTTGAGTATTTTGTATTTAAATACAATTTTTTGAGTATTTTGCCCATTCCTGGTTTCATGCAAAAACGCGTCGAGTAATAAGCATAATTTCATTAATTTTTGAGGTGCGGGGATTAAATTGAATAATTACTTAAATTTGTCAGTACCGATAATTAAGAATGTAATTGTAACGCAGTAATTGTAACAAATTTTAAAAAGTAATACTCGTTGTTAAACAAACAATTTTGTAGATTTATAGAAGCTGTTACAATCTTCTATTGTAGATAAAGAGATGTATCCGCCAAAAATTAATGTTGGTTAAAGATTCTCACAATGTAAAATCAAAGTAGACATTGGTTAATTATTTTAAATTTTTCACATATTGTGATTATTTAATATGAAATTGAATTATAATTTGATACAAGTGCTTATTAAAGCATGGCTCAATAACTAACAGTAATTCGAATTAATTTAAACAAAAAAAATTGTACTACAGTTAATTAAAATAATTAAGAACAATCAGTGAATTCGGTAATGTAAACTGATGTAATTATAATTAATCTCAACGAGGATCGTTTGAAAAGTTTTGAGCCTCAATATGAAAATGATAAAACATGTATGATTGTAGTACCAGAATCGATTTTGACAAATAATGCCATTTTTGTATTGAGGCTCAAAACTTTTCAAACGACTCTGGTAAATTGTAACATTGTAAGATTGTAAATAAGAAATCAGAATATCAGTTGTAGATGTTAACATAATGCATTATGAAATAAGAATAAATTAAAGAATAAATAGAATAATAAAAAGAGGAGAATCTAACAGAAGTGATTAATAATTCGTTCATGTAAACTATTATATAGTCTGTGAACCAGAATTTTGTAAGTACAGATTATAAAGCTTGTATATCAAATAAGTTATTACGATATTGACAATTCTGACGCCATAGTAAGAAATGATAATAGAATCTACGAGGGCAAGTCAATAAGTTCTTAGAAAATCTGTCAGAAGGCACTCGCAGTGTCATGTCATACTTTTTGACAAGTAATCTCTTAGCTGATTACTATCAAATTTTCATCGCGTGGTTTCATTTCTGTAGACGATTAAAGTGAACAACTTTTGTATTTTTTACAAAATGGAAAAAAACGAGTTTCGTGCAGTGATCAAATCACATCTACATATGAAAGATTTAACGCCGAAAGAAATCAAAGCCGAGTTGGATAATGTTCATAGCACATCATATGCGACTCACACAATTGAGTGAATGAATTTAAACGTGGTCGTACATCCACATATAATGCATCTTGTTCGGAACGTCCAATTGAGGCTGCTACGCCAAAAATCATCGATAAAGTCCACGATATTGTTTTGACTGATCAACGAATGAAAGTGCGCTTGTTGTCACAGGCATATCATATAGCACAGTGATTTCAATTTTGCACGAACAATTGAGTATGAAAAAGCTATCGGCAAGATAGGTGCCGCGTTTGCTCACTGTGAACCATAAGCGCGTTCTTGTGACGATTTCAAAACAATGTTTGGAGATGTTTCAACATAATCCAGATGAATTTCTGTGTCTATTCATTACTGTGGAACATGGATCCATTACTTCACACCCGAGACAAAAGAAGTCAAAACAATGGACTTCACTGAGTGAACCAGCTCCGAAGAAGGCGAAGATCGTAAAATCGGCCGGAAAGATGACGGCCACAGTTTTTTGGGATGCACATGGTATAATTCATATCGATTACCTCCCGTCGAAGCAAACGATCAAACGATTATTACGCAGCCTTATTGGACCGTTTCAACAACATTTTAAAGAAAAAACGTCTCTTCTTGGCGAAGAAGAAAGTGCTTTTCCATCAAGACAAGGCACGGATTCACGTGTTCGGCATCGATGGCCAGATTCAACGAATTCCGCTACGAATTGCTTCCCCATTCCTGAAAATCAAATATACGTATTTATTGCATGGATATTGTGGCCTGTTTAAGAAGATTAGTCGGTTCTTAAACAGGGGGAATAAAAACAAACCAAACCAATACATGGGTGGGTTAAAGAACCGACCATAGCTTAGCTACTCATAGGGAAATAAAATTGTAGTAAAATATAGTTTAAAATCAAATAACTGAAATATCTTTTGAATAAAGATTTCTGTTATAATTGATAAACTACTGGCTTTATTTAACTCTTTCCTTAGATATTTCGTAATATTCTCATCTTATAATAATACGTAAACTCTCTCTTATAATTAGTATAATTTTGTGTCATCTTGATCTAACTTTAAATCAGTTTTAAATTATTAAAGCATAACTGAGAGCGAAAGAAATAAAGATTTTATTATTTGAATAAAGATTTTATTAATTTTATATTA